CAACCTTGTCTCATGGTCGTCTAAGCGCCAGGCCACTACTTCTCGCTCCAGCGCCGAGGCGGAATACCGGGTTGTAGCAAATGCTGTTGCTGAAACCAGCTGGATCCGAAATCTTCTCATTGAGCTCCAGCAGCCACTCCGTCGCGCCACACTTGTCTTTTGTGATAATGTCAGTGCGGTCTACCTTTCGTCAAACCCGGTGCAGCATCAGCGCACCAAGCACGTCGAGGTTGACATACACTTTGTGTGTGATAAGGTGGCGCTCGGTCAGATCAAAGTCCTGCATGTTCCGTCATCTTCTCAGTTTGCTGATATCTTCACAAAGGGACTGCCCTCACAATTATTTCTTGACTTCAGAGAAAGCCTGGGTATCCGACCCCCAGCACTGCCGACGTAGCCGGGAGCATGTTAAATATATATAATATATTTAATATTATTGTATTATTATTGTTACCATATTTGTATAGGTTTCCTAGATTGTCTCTCCTACCTTAATTAGGATTGAGACTTTTGTATATATACATGTACTCTGCTCACAATTTAATCAATGAAAATAATTCTTCTTCACTATTCAACTCAATCAAGGTACAATTGTTTACAAGTTATAAATGGTCGTTTGTACCTGGTCACATTTTCAAGATTTTCTCAGAGCACTTGGCTGAAAGCTATTGATGCTTGGCTTCACAGATATTTCACTTGAAAAATGAAGTTGACTTTTCAAGTCGGACACCTTTTTTCCAGAAGATATATACTCTGTAGTTCTTGAACCTGGTTTTTTTGGCAAAGAGGGACTATAAATCATGTAATGGGTCATGCGCATAGGAGCAATTTCAACTCAACCACATCATGATATTTTTCATATTGCTGAAAATAAAACCTATGATGATACGGATTTGGAATTTCATCTCATTATTCATTCATAAGAAGGGTGACTAATTAATACGGAGTACATAGTAGTGTTTTTTTGACATTAGTTGACCAATTAAGTTTCATGTCACTAACCCCAACAATAAGTCAATAGTTGAGATTAAGGTGATGATGATGGGCTATTCTCACCTCAAAATAATCATCTTCTGAGTTTTAAAAAAAGTGTGTAATGGAGTTTAATATTGCATATATTGTTGCAGGGACTGGTATAATCTTGAGAAGTCAAAGCGAGTGAAATCATTCCGTTGTGGGGAGTATGATGATTGCATTGAGAAAGCTAAGGCCTCAACAGCCAATGCTTCTAGAAAGCTAGTGAAATATGCACGCAGGGATGACGCCATTCTTCAGGCCCTCGAGATTGAAAGTTCTTATATTGGAAAACATAATCCTAGCTTCATTTCAAGGTCAGGTGATGATAAGCAAAATAAAGCGGGTGCTATAACTAAAAAAGAAGAAGATTGTGGCAGTAGCAGAAGTTCTGAGAACAACAATTCAAGTGCTTTATCTCAATCTGGTGTATCCATTGAGGAGGAACCCGTGGAGGATAGGGGACAGAACCCAAAGGTATGTTTGGATCACAGAAAATGACATGGAAAGGAACAACATGCAAAAAGAACCCTTTTTCTTGTGTTTAGACTTATACTAATCACTCCCTCCGTCCTGAATCAAGGTTCCACATTTGACCTGGCAGACTAGCACGGTTATAAGGAGATGTGAAATTGAGTGGCTGAGAGCTGTGCGAGAAGAGAGAAAGGATATGAACAATACAATCATTTCTTTAAATGGAAAGTGAAACCTTATTACAAACAAAAAAGGAAATGTGAAGCCTTTTTATGGGACCAAGGGGGAGTATCTTTTTCAAAATTTTACTAATTTGTGGAATTTCTTTGCTGTCTTTATGTTAACTTAAAAAAAAAAAAGAAAGAGTGCAGTTTTTGTACCGGTGTTTTACTTTCCCTCAAGCTTTATTTCGCTTCAAATTCCTCATGTATTTTCTTTCCCTAGCATTTTCAGAGTTCCAAAGGAGCCCAAAATGATTCAGATGATGAAAGTGGTAAACACATGCAAGGTCTTGATGACTTGGGGACAAAGTCATTCAAGAGAAAGAGATCTGCGGTGGCCCATGTTTGCAAGGTTCTGAAAAAGAAGGGCCGCCGACGTCCAATGATGGGGAGTACTGTTCTAGTGTCATTTCCCGTTGCATGTGAAGGAATTCCTAGCCCAAGTGATTCTGCAGCTTCTGATGTATGTGAAAATGGGACACTCATTGCTGCTGGGAATGAGATTCTGAGCATTCCGCAGTTGCCTGAGGATGGATGTTTAGATTCATTGTCTGATGTTCCATTTGTGGAAGAAGAAAACCATTCCGAGGGTCATCCAGAAATCAATGAGTGTAGGGAAAAGGGGACGTCGGAGTGGCAGTCTAAACGAAAGAGGAACTCAAGGCATGTAAATAAAAGCAAAAAGCGGTATATAGGAAAAAATACTAATCTGGATGGCGGTGAATCCTATGCAGCAAAGTTGGCAGGTATGAATGGATATGCCCTTGCTTTTCTGGGCGGCAAATTAATTAGGGGTCTTTCTAATGGGAAGTGAGATAGGACATAGCTGATAATAATATTTGACCATCAAGACATTTATGACTTGAATGGGGTGAGCTTTTGAACTTTAGACCTTTGGCTTTACATATATCAGTATATGATGACATGCTTCAGAACTATTTTAAAAAATTCGAGACCCAAAACAATCAGGGACTCTAGGCTCATGCCTAGTTCGCCTAGGCCTAGAGAAGAAGGTCATATCTAATTTGTCTCTATGGGTCGTTTGGTTGGTGGGAGAACCAGGAAAGAGGCTTTCTTTCAGCTTTGCTTTGTTATTTTAAGGCCCAAGGGTATCTTTGGATACCAGAAGAGGCTAGGAAAGAGTGGAGTATTTTTCAAATATTCTTTTCCCCATATATGCACTCTTAAGTAACCAAACAAGCTGTTACTGTTTCAGAATGCCCTATAGATCACAAGTCAAAAGCAGTCACAAGCGTGTTACCCACGCCACAGAGGTTACTGCCTTATCGTCAGTCCCGCTTTTCGGTCAACCCAAAGTATGACTCTTCGGCTTTCCCTCTAAGGCATCATCATATATCAGATTCCTCATTGTATGATGTTAAGGTGGAGGTTAAGTCCAGCTATCGTGCACAGCATGTTCCGTATGTTTCGTTAATGACCAAACTAAACGGGCGACCCATCGTGGGCCACCCGATCACAGTTGAGGTGTTGGAAGACATCGGGTTGGGTTCAGGCAGCAACCATGACTTGGATCATACCGGGCAGCGCTCAGGTGGTTTTAGGGCTCCTACTAAGGACCGTGTATCGACAACAAAGTCATTGAAATCAAAGAAAAACTGTCAATTTTCAAAGAGGAAGATTAGGATGTTGTCTTCATTAACAGGTTCTCAGAAGCAAAATCAAGGCAAGGAAGTGTCAACATCACCGGCAAAACTAAAAGGGACTGCTGTAGCTTGTGTCTCTCTTAAAGTAGTGTTCAGCAGACTTAGCAAAGATTTGAACAGTCCAAATACGTCTCCGCACCCGGTGGTCAGTCCCGCCATTGGTTGAGATTTATCTTTGTTCTTTGCCTGTTTTAGCTTGATGTACATAAACCGTGTAACATCATTAGTTGAGGTGTAAAGAATGGTTATCCAGTTGTTAGGCTTCGATGGTTTAGAATTGTGATAGTTTGAGCCATATTCAGTCTCTAGTTTTAGTTTATGCTGCAGCTAGTACAAAGGGAGCTGGCTGCGAATGCAACAGTTTTCATATCTTTGTAATTACATTGACCATTATGTTGTATCCCTTTTGGACCTTCAGTGTCTTGAAGCATGAAGTATTTATACTAAGAAGCAATTGAGGATATGTGCAAATGAGCGCAGAAGCATTTAGATTGAGATTTTATTATGAAAGTTTTTCATTTCTGGTGGCAGAACTATTGGTCCATATTCCTATGGATTCATATCTCTGGTCTGTGTGTGGTTCCTGACATTGATAACAAGTTGTATATAGGATGACACTAACCCTTGCGTTCAAATGAAGCTTAGCTTACACATTTGAACAGAAACCAGTTTTGCTACAAAAATATTGATAGGATTCTCAAACCAACATATCCATCATTGTCAAAATCCCAAATATATATCAGGGAGGTTAAGTTAGTCATTTGCATTTGTGCATCTTCTCATTAGAAATACTCCTCAGAAGCTGGCGGGAACACATATCCTGTGCGTAGCTTGCATTCTTTGCACGGTTTGCCCTCACCCACTCCGGCTCCTATATCATTTCAATAAAGAGAGAAATGCTGCCCGTTATTTACGAGAGGGTGTTTGGGAGTAGGACGGAAAAGGGATTGATTTTAATGAACTCAAAATCATTGATCTCAACATGGAACTTACAGCGGGAACAAGGTGAGAAAAAGCAGCTTTTATCAACAGCAGAACATGTTCCATTATGAGGATTGCTGCAAGGCCGGGTGACATTTTCCAGGTTCCTTCCCGATCGTATAAGCATACCAGAAGCACACAGTTTGTACATATGGACATCACTATCAGAAACTGAAGCCCAAACATCACATTATCAATTACAGACCACGAAAGTGACAGATGAAGCTTAAGATGATAAAGCGGATTTACCTGAAATATATTAAGCCAAGCACCAATTGTGGCATTTGGCCGAGGAATCGGCCTTCTGAAGATGGCTAAGAGCTTAAGCGCGTCTGTTCTGATTTCAGTTATGTTGTTCTGCAGCATCAAGCAAAATTGAATCTTTGGAATTAACCCAATTCACTTTCAATAAAATTAACACACATTGCAGCAATCCATCTAGGGGGTCTCATTGAAACAGTCTCTTCGTTTTTATAAGGATAAGACTACCCCCAGACTCCAATGGAGTTCAGATTTTGTCATTGTTGCTACTAATATACGGAGTATATTAGTAGAGTGCGGGGCGGGTTGGGGAAATAAAATATAAGTGGGAAAGGAATGCCTAGAGACTAAGCAGAGACTACATAGGGATTTTTAGAACAGAGGGAATAAATAAAATACAAAGAAGAAAAGGTGAATACCAATGTAGCAAAGGCAAAACCGAGTGGGAATGCACAAGCAAACATCATGATCATTCCAAACTGCAGTGCCAATTCCAGAAAATCTAGTAATGATAGCATCCGTTGAAATATGAGGTGAGGAAATAAAATCAAATTCAAGTGCCAAACCTGCAGGGCATAATTATATTAAATGGAGTGAATCTTCAAAACATACCGTCAAATAGTCCATCTTCAAGCTCCTCCCCAATGCTTGCAGAATAAATTGGCTTAAGGTATTCCTTTTCTATCCTTGAGAAGTATTGGATTTTTGCTATGGACAGTGCTCCATCAGATTTTCTCTTGTTTTTCCTTCGAGTGTAATTAAACATTAGGTGTTTGGAAACCCCACAAAAACAAGGAAGGGAATAAACTTGATGTACAAAAGGAAACAGCTTACCTAACTGCTCGATATTTCCTAAAGCTATACGTTAAATAAGGCAAAGAATTTTCCACCAGATTACCAAGCACCTAAAAAATAAAGAGATAACACAAAGAATAATCAGATAGATGTTTGAGGCTCAAACACAAATCAAAGAGCATATTCGACTTTTGATCCCATGACTACTAGGTAATTTCTGTTTCATTCTCTGACTTCCAACTATGTACTTCTTGCCACTACTGATTTTTTCCGACGCCTTAGTCAGCCCATTTCCATGCAAATTCCAGTTGATTTTTGCCAAATACGTGACTGAAAAGGACCAAAATTGGCAAGAAGTCCACAGTTGTGCAATGTGCACCAAATGTGAAAAAAATGAAAATAGGAGTCCTAATGTGGAAATGACCTACCAAATGTGGAACTAAACTGGAAAATTTTCTACAATTTACCAAACAGAAGCAAAGTGATTCTCTGATATCCCACTTACCTCTGATAAAATTAGACGCTGAACCAAAACTTGACGAAGTGTCAAAATGTTGCGATGCAAAAGGGCATGATAGAAAATTCCGATGTATGTTTGCATGAAGTAAAGACCAAAGACCTGCAAGGGAAGGAAAGTTCATGGATAATAACACACAGGTAGGTGCAAGTGCAGAGAAAAGAGACTCTTGTTACCCACCTTGTAAACCAAACTGTCAGCTCTATATTCTATATTCTTATTGCCCTCATATTTTACAAGTTTGGCAGATATTTTGCCTCCAACTCCATTGAAATACTGGATGACAAGGAGGTATATAGCTGTCAGAGCAAACCTGAAAACAAGCATATGCAAAGACATTATGGTAAAAAGTAAAAACATCACGGACAAGAATTTGATCTAGTGATGGAAATGGTTGGAGAAAAAAATGGGGAAACATGGTAGAATCTCAAGGCCCGAAATCAAGATTTTCGGAACTGGGAAGTCAAAATGAGCTAATTAACTAACTGAAATTGCAATGAAGAATCAAATGATGGTAAGTTGAAAATAATAAAAGTTTTGGCTAGCTCCTTTGGGAAAAAAAGGATTTGATTAATAACATACCGAGTACCTATTAATGAAAATTATACCTTTACCATTTACTGGGGTAAAAGTTAAATGAGTGGATAATAGTCACTCATAATCGGAAACAATAATATGAATGCTTACTTCAATATATCAGAGCTTAAAACCTCATAGAGGTGAGCGAAAACCAGTTCAAACGGCAGCTGTAGACAGATAATGCTCAGTATAATCAATGCATCATTTCTGAATCTCATCAAGTGCCCAAACCATTCCTCTCTTTGGGATGTTTCTTTCTCTTTTGTGCTATCAATCCCCCATTGCTTCGCGAGCTCTGCCGGGGCCTGAAACAGACCCCATTCTCTCTCCACAAATTTAAATTCACCATATCCTCCAACTGGGTAATTTATCTGCCACCTATTCAAATATCCACCCATAAATGAAACTCATAATAATAGCATTAACTCCATTCATGGTAAATTGGTAATAGAGATACCATGTATTGTTCAAAAGGGTAGAGAAATAAACAACTACCGATGGTCAAGTTTCAATTTGTGGCATGCAACTGTGCATTTAATTTTCTGTTTCTATGGTTAACGCTACCTTATTTTTTGTTTCCAGAATTTCAAGTAGGTCTGAAACAAACTGCCAAACTGACCATAACGGAAACTGACAATAACTGATCTAACCATAGACATTTTAGTTTAAGGGCTTTGTGGCTTAAGGACTACTCTATATTTTTCAATCCACATGTTATTCCATACAAATTTGTCTTTTTGGAACAAAAAATATGAGGTTACCTGACAAGAAGAGCAGCATTTTTACGTTTCCAGAACTGCAAAAACAATACTGCCCATGAGACTAGGCATATAAAGAAAGCAGGAAGAACAAACATCTGCAAAGATCTGCAGGAGGAGAAAGAACATAAATGAAAATGGAAATAAAATGTTCAATATATGAGATAAACAAGAGACTAAAATTAAAATAAAATTTTCCATTTTTGAATAACATTACCCAAAATCAACCAACTGTACTGCCAGTCCGAATGCAGCAGGAAAGAGCATCCATCTTGTGTACATCCCAAGAAATGTAAAATATGTAGCAATCTGTTTGAATGCAAAAAAATGTGTCAATTTGTAATCATGCATGAAATTCTAGTTGCGCAAAACTATGAACAAAAAGTGTAATCACCCCAAAACATTAGATATAAAAAACCAGAATTCACCTTTGTTCCATAATATGAACAGATATTGTCAATGGGCTGCACTGTCAGGTCCCACCAGTTAAGTGCCCAACTTTTAAGAAGTTTCTTCCTCTTCGTTTCATCTTTAAAAAATGCACTCGTAATCATAACGCTTAGTGTATCAAAGTTTCTAGGAAGTCTTTAACATTTTCAGATAACCTACTAAGATAATAATTGAAGAATAAATTAAAAGATAACTGAAGAATGTGAAACTGTATATACCATGCAAAGGGAAAACTTCTTTAACAATCCCCTCAAATTCTAATTTTCTAAGTAGTGATTCTCCTGTCTCCCATTGAACTTCCTCGCAGCCAGCAGCTAATGTTCTAACCGACTCGCCCCTGTTCACCTGTAATGTTTTTGCCTGAGTGTGAAATGAGCAGCCTAGAGAGTATAGAAAACAGTGAAAAGCAAAAGTGACATCATGAATGGCATTTTCTCTTATTGCTTTATTTCCTTGTGAAACATAATGTTAGAAATACAGAGTAACACTGACACATAAGATATGTGAAGATGACATCAAACAAAAGGGTGTTGATTGTATTATAGCTAACAATTTAGATCAAAATGAATACATATGTCAAATGAATTCCAAGTTCAAAACTTGGATGCTTTAAGAGTTAAAGGTCCATTGGAATGGGGAAAATTAATATTTAATACTCCCTCCGTCCCAAAATAAAAGCAACACTTCTTTACATTTCTATGTGGCTCCCAATATTTTCTTTTTCTTCTAAAGAAATTTTAACCACACACTTCAGTTTTCAACATTTATATTAAAAAAAGCTACTTTTAATTTTTGGGATGGAGTACTAGGGAATGTCAATTGGAAGGAAAGAAAAAAAGGTGGAAGTAAAAGATAGGAAAACCTCTTTTTATTAATCTATGACTCTACGTATATGTTTATTGTATAGAGGCTAAGGAATCTAAATATATGGATAGTTTGTAGAAAAACAGCCATACTCCATTTCCCTTTGCATTTTCTAAAGTAAAATCAAACATAACCAACTCACAATTATTATTATTACTCTTATTATGTGCGGAGTATTATATTTTGGAAAATTTCCAACTCACGATTTTATACAGCAAGTAATGATAGCAATTGAAACGCTCGGACCAACTGAACAAGGAACCATCGGGCTGATTGGAAAATGCTTCAACTTCATCCCATTCAAACTGCAAGTCCACTCCTGATATTTCAAAACAAATACTCATATGCCAGAAATCACAAAATCCAACAAGCATATATATATATATATATATATATATATATATATATATATATATATATATATATATATATATATATGTAGAGCCGCAATGGAATGCATTTAAGTATATTACCAATATGAGTTCGTTTCTTCATTCGCAACTCGGCTGCAGTCTGTCCCAGAACGCGCAATGATGCTGCCAGCTGGAAAAATAGTCGATAACTACACAATGCAAACAATACCGTACCTAGATTGGGAAGAATGTCATAACAAGTATTGTAATCAAATCCCCCATTGTCACATCATGTTTGTTCCATTTTCCCATTTTAGTATATTCTGAAGTACTTGTGGCATACCTTAATCAAATACTCTCCCCGCCGCATCCTATTTGTCCCATTTTTTCATTCCAAAGTGTATTTCACATACCTTATTTTTCAACCTTCATATAACTTAAGAATACTTCACACTATAGATATGGGACAGAGGGAGTATATTTTTTAGTGTAAATTCACCAAAATGTGCATTTGACTACACTACATTGCCTCTAACCAAGCCACCCTGAAGTAGCTTTTCCTACCAACAGGCTAGAACAGGTGCGCCTATCAAGGGTTTTTAGAACATAGACTAAGAACACACTAAATTGCTCACAAATGTGTGCGTTTAAGCTGAGACTCTGAGCTTTAGGTAATGATGTTAAAGATTGAACCAGACAAAATACAAGAGGCAAGAGGGAACAAGAAAAGTGAAGGGACCTTAATATATTCATTTTGAATGCCAACAACTCTGTCCACAAGGAGTCCCGCCTTTTCAAATTCATCAATAAGAACCTCAACGCATTCATTGCTCTCATCTTCGTGTTTCTTTGGAACCACAACCCCTATTTCAAAAGCACATCTTTTATCCCCTCCTCCATCCCCATTCATTTCCAACCAAAATCCTCTTCTTCTCACCAACCCAAATAAAAAGGGCACCCGGATTTCTGGCTTGTGAAGAAAGGGGAAAAGGCTGACTAATTTCTTCTGAAATTGAAAAAAAGATTCAAGCTTTGAATGTTATGGGTCACAAATCCCACCTGGGTTTTCTTAATCGTTTGCCCTTTGTGGTGGTTCGATCGAGGTGTATGAATTTGGATTGGAAAGAAATACAAGTGCTAAAGAATATGAGAAAAGAGGGAGAGAAAACGACAAGAGACGGATGGATACAGATAGATGTGAGGTGTTCAGGGGAACGAAGAAGAGACACACAAAGAACTCCGAGGAGGAACACGTGGCAGTGTCGTTGACTGTCTTGTTTTCTGCAATGGGATTATGGCGGTGGAAGTCCATCCATATTCAGACACAATTGCCATTGCTGAAAAAGGGAAGAATTTTTGTGCCGAGGAAGAGGGCTATAGCTAGTTGCAGAAGAATTTGAATATGAGAATGAGAATAGATTCATTTTAGGCTATATATGGGCGTAGGCGTAGCTGAAAGAATAATGGGCGTCCCAATTTCGATCCCGTCTTTTAGGCCTAGTTTTTTTCTTTCATAATTTCCACAGTCCCATGCAGTTTAAGTGCAAATTCAAGTCAATATTCAACTTAACAATTTTGGATGATTTTTTGGATAGTAAATTTATAGACGAAAAAAATTATAAATTCAAAAAATTGTTGTTTTAAGGAAAATAAAGAAGAGTATAATTTGTTTTGAATTTTAATCATGATATTATTTAATTTATAAATTGTTTTCATCAAGATACTTTCAATAATTTCTTATGCAATCGATGTTGAAATTTTTTATGAAAAATCATTTAATGGCATGTGTTCCTTCGTTTGTGAGTATCCTTAGTTGTAATGTATTATTACAAAATGATACGGAATAATAAATAATCTTATTAAAGAATCAAATGCCATTATCATGAAAATATATGCCACCGAGTAGCATTGAGTGTATATATTTTTATAAATAGCTACATAAATGATCAATCAACAAATGAATCAAATACAATAAAATTTTATAGTGTTTTGACCATTTCAAAATCGTTCACAATATATTGATTGTTTTCCCATCAACTTATTTACAACCAACCTTAGCTTGATCCTGATTTTAACATTTACCAAATTTTCAAAAATATTTATAATAAAACAACAATCGACTAACAATTTTGTTCCCTAAAGATGATGTATTGTAGAGCACACAGTGGTCAATATAACAGAATCAAAGAATATAATTCACCACATTTTTTTGAAATTGTTTACACAACAAGAAAAAAAACTAAATAACCCTCACCAAATGTTACTCATTCTTAACAATAATAATATACAGTACAATACACATCTTACAGATAAACCCTTCTACTATAAATGAATAATAAATTGGTCCACCAGTCTGCCAGCCTTTACATATTTCCATATCACGACTATATATAGATGTATCAAACTCGGGTGGGTCATTGATTCATTCTTCTTCAACAATACAAGAAGATACAAAAACAACACACCGTTGAGAGAGCAGCTCGGGGGTGAGTGAGTGGGCAAATAAGTAATTCCACCCCTATCATGCTCGGCATCTTTTATACATACTCAAATTTGTGACAAATAAGGACGGGGCACGAGCAGAAGGAAGGGATAGAGACTATACACAGCCTTGATCTGTCATGCCGTTGGCAATGGTAAGAAAGGCAGAAATTGCTGCTCCATGCACCAATGCCCTGCAATGAGTAATACGGAAGAAACCTCAAGTTTTTACCACCCCCCCAAAAAAAAACAAGAAACCTTTAGTGAAAAAACTAATCTACCGTGCACATTGTTAAATTGGACGTAAGTCAACTCAAAAGTATATAGTCTAATAATACTCCAACCCAATAGGTTGGGTGTGGCAAGGGGAGGATGTACAAGTCTTACTCGGGACTCTCTTTTTGGTACCCAAAGTCATTTGCTGCTTTTAACGCTCTCTCATACGTCAGTTTCATTGCTTCCTGTCATTTAAAAAAAAGGCCAAGAAAATGAAGTTCTTGCCACAAAGTCAATTGTTAATCCCAACCGCTATTAACCTAGGGTAGTGCGTGGAAACTAGGAATTCAGTTGAATCCTTGGGTTTCAGTTTCAAAAACCTGTAGCTTTGATTCAAAATCTTGAGGAGACCAGCTCAAGTTGCATTCCTTCAGTTCTAGTTCCCCAGCAACAACCTGAAGGCATTTGGCTTCCCCATGTTAAAGAGAACAACAAAATTTAGAGGTGCAAAAAAAGAACAAAGATTACAACAACAACAACCCAGTAGAACCCCATGGAGGTATGGTCTAGAACAAAGACTAATATGTTCCATACTAATAACGCAAACTGGCCACACACATAAAACAACACATTATATATAAAGCTTAATGAACTTCAAAGTTTCAAGTTGAGTGTGGAGGTGGTCACACGAAGACTGGCGGGTGTTGGATAAGTCTAGAGGAGGCAGAGGCATAAAGCTATATTTACCATTACCAACTACGTACCATTAAACCCTAAAAGTGCTATTTTGAATTGCATCATGGCCTCTTTGGGAACTCATATTTGGATTCCAGTTTCAAACTTGACCTAAACTATATGTTTGGAAATCTTTAAAAAATTGAATTTGGATTTGGGCCAAGTCCTAGAATTTCCAACAATGTCTAATCACAAATCCATACCCCTTCCCTCTTTGTAATTTAAATTCCCAACCCCACATTTTAGAATTGAAATCCAAGAATTCAATTGAATTCCTAGTTTCCAAGCACTACCTTAAAAAAATTAAGTTGGGTGTAAGTGAGGTGCACCTAATCCACACCCACCGCATGTGCATAAGCAAATGACTCGCACCTAGGTGCACGCATCAGAAACATCAATTGCCTTGCATATGAAAAGGCACCAAGCGGCCCATGCCCGTGTGCCTTTCGTTGGTGCACCTTTCACAACTATGCTAGGAGAAATGTATGGGAAAAACAAGGGTTAAAGACATCTTCCCCACACCCACACACGTGATTGGTAAGAATACCAAATGGCCTTGACATTTTTATAATTTACAAATAAGTCCCTTGAAATGTCAATTTTTTACATAAAGCCAATGAAATATGATAGAACAAAGTGATATTAGTAAGATATGGTGGTATCATCCCGAATGTTCTTTAAGAGAAAATAATACTCTCTCCATCCCAATATTTGGCCATATTTGTGCTTATTTTATCTTACTTTAGAGTTTAGACTTCAATATCAACCACACTATTACGTTTCTTAATTTCCGTGCCTCTCATGTCCCAAAAATAGTGGGACTAAGGAAGTAAGTATTTTAGCTATAAATGCATTAAAAACACCAAAGTTACCCATTCTATCTCTTCCTACAACAAATATTTTGTACATTGAAACATGAAAGAACCTTTTTTTTTGTTTTAAGAATTCATAATTGTCCTTTTAGGAATATTTGGAATTCGACAATTTGTATATAGTATTTCAAATGATTTGTTCGTAACACGTTGATTTGGGGGAGCTTTGGCAAAAATAAAAAAACCTGGCCAAAGAATTTTGGTAATTAACCGAACCTTAGAGAGGTAACTGTAACTATTAACCGACCCAAAAAACAAACACCAACTCAACTAGATTATAATCGCATGACTCTATATCATAGTTTTAAAAACCGGACCGGACCGGCCGGTTCGGACCGTGAACCGGCGAACCGGAGAACCGGTGGTCCAACCGGTCCGGTCCGGCCCATTGGACCGTAATGCGCTTTGAACCGGTCCGAACCGGTGTGAAACGGTAAGAACCGGCCGGTCGGACCGGTCCGACCAGTTCTTTTTTTTTACAATTTTTTCCCAAAACTTCACTCCATGGAGGTTTGAACCCAAGACCTCTTAGCTATTTGGTTAAGTTCCTAACCATCCAAGTAACGGTGATTGTTGTTTCAAATTCGTATAATTTTTTTTTAATATTTCATAATTAATAAAAAGATTATATAAAGATTACTTTTCAATTTTAAAAATATAATACGTAGTATTATATGCTATGAGTCAAACACAAAATCATTGATATGTTTTTAATAAAATTTTAATATTATTTTTAACATGTAAATTTCATCTTTTAATTTAGTAAAATAACTCGAGTATGTTAATATAATTTTAGTCAAATATTATAAATTACTTTCTTTATGTATTTATATATGAGAATGTCTCTCTCTCTCTCTCTCTCTCTCTCTCTCTCTCTCTATATATATATATATATATATATACCCGTGAACCAGTACCTTGACCGGTTCGGTCCCCGGTCCGGTTCTCAAAACTATGCTCTATATAGCTTGTATGCGAAAAACAGATGACTTTCATGAACAAATGCAAAAAAGAGAAGTAGAAAGCATACCCCTCCTACCCCAGCAGCCATAGCAGGAGCAACTATAACATTAGCCTTTCTCATAATATCAACTGCCTCGGGGGTACATGGCATATTTGATCCTGAAAAGGAATATCAATGCAATAAATATTAGCAGCTTAAATTGATTACCATTAAAAGATTGTAAATTTCACAATATTGTTGTCCACTACCTTCCACAACTATGCGACAACCTGAATTTACTAAAGCAACCGCATCGCTTTGATCAATTTCATTTTGTGACGCACATGGGAATGCCACATCACACCTTTCATTCCAAGGCTTCACCTCATCATAGTACTTTGAGCGAGCATAAGTTTTAGAGTAATCTCTGAAAGAAGTTGTTAATCATAAGCACCACACAGTTGGACAAACACAATGTCACTTACTGTTCTATAGAACCAAACAAAGAAGAGATACAAACCTCAAGCTTCTATGTTGAGCTTTGATGTCTCTTAAGAAAGATATTTTCATGAAATCAAACCCGTCTTCATCCACAAGATAACCTCTTGAGTCTGAAAGCATACTTGGAAGTTAAAAAAAAACATATATTCCCCAGGTCCCTAAATAAAGTTCATGCTTTCCTTTTTTAGTTGTCCCAATAAAAAGCACATTATTTCTCTCCTCTGCAAAAATTTCCACCCTACAATTTCACTCTCTCTTAAACTCTGTGCAAGTCAAACCAGGTACTTTATTTAGGGATGGAGGGAGAGGGAGTACATTGGATACACGAGTATCATCACAAAAAAAAGTCAGGCGTAATTATTACAAGAAAAGATGATAAATAGAAACGAACATAACACGTATACCTAAATAGGACTCCTAATTGTTTTTATAATTCAATTCTATTTTACCACTAGTCTCATTAAACAATTCAAATCTTTCTTTGTTTAAATTCTCTTCACTCCTTTCTTCCACCCACCACCCCTAGGCCCTAACCTCACCACTGACCACGACACCCTATTGTCGATCGTCGTCCGGCCTCTTATCAGAGCCTCCTCCATAATCTCACCACTGCCTAGAGATAGGATTTCAGTCTCACCGTAGATCTGCCCACAGAGCTCCACACCCCTGAAACAACAAATCCTTATGTTGAACGCCAGGCCGAACACAAGTCAGGAACATCGTTCAAATACAAGGTCTGGATTTGCTCTTTAGTTAGGATATGCATATAGCGTGTTGGTTTTCACTGAAGAGCACCATTGATTTTTCTTGTTGATCTCTTTGTTCATTTGTACAATATTGATTTAATGCTGATTTTCAAGAGCACTATTGCTTTTAGCTGCATTGATCATCAAACCAAAGCACCGAAACTTGTCTCTTTTAGATGCTGAGTGTGAATGAATCCTTACTTTCACTACCACCTCAGTGGCCCGCAACATAAATGATAAATAATTGTGTCTCATTTCCATTTTTAACTCCTATTCAGGTACAAAAATATTAGAAGACCTATTTAGGTGCATGTTTTAAACCTATTTAGTATTAAACCCTATTATTATTTTAAAGCTATATGAGGAAGTTAAATATTGTGTACCACATACATAGCAAGAAGCTTTATATTCCCGTTTCCAACATTGGAGTTAATTAAAATGATCTTTGTTAGTTAAAAGATTATTTTAAAAAACTAGATCTAGAATAGGAAAAATTTATTCTTGTAATGGAAAGTTATGATGATTCTAGGAATAGGAAATTAATCCTTACATTTTGAGATGGTCGCAATATGTTAATTTTAGGAAAGCAACACTTGACCACAACACAAATACTATGTGAAGAGTTCTTAAACAAAATGCTCCCTCTGATTGGATTTAGTTGCCCTATTTCTAAAAAAATCTCATTTTTAAGAAAAGGAAGTCCTTCAAATGAGGTTGACACTAGTTCATGTCAACAATGCTCATACCCTATCTCTATTATATAGGTAGTATTAGACAATTCATCATTATTTATTATTGAATATGGAAAATGGACACTTAATTTCAGACAAACGAAAATTAGAAAGTGGACAACTAAATCAGGGTAAAGGAAGTACTAAATTTCATGTCACATAATTGTTTTTAGAGTTACAAACTCCCTAGAAGACAAACAACAAGGATGGGGTGTGGGAGTGTAGAAATTCCATATCATTACATTTCTGGGAGGTTAAAGGAGATTTATTTTGGAGTCCCGAAATGTGATACATTATGGGACAAAGGGAGCATATCATTCAATTCCATACCCAAATATTTTTTAAAAAAGAATTCACTTAATAGTTTATATAGAATACTATTACATATGAATCACCTGATACTGTGATAGGAATAGCCCCATATGCAATAAGCTTCTCCAGGACATGCATTGCAATTTTTCCAGAACCACTAACCACACACCTAATCACAAGATGCAAAAAACAGGAAAATGTTTTTTAACTGAACAACTGACATTTCCTCAAAGCCAGACATAGATTAGTAAAGGGAAAACACTTCTTTGTGAAATTCAATATCCTATGTTTCGTTTTACCACAAACTGCCATCTCACTGCACGTTCCAATATAAGGGTCAAATAGGTTCACGTACATGCTTTTTTTAATGCAATTAACTAACTAAGCCTCCTAACTCAAGACAAAAAAACACATTTATTAGTCCTTTCAGTAAATGTTGGCAGGTAAGCATAAGGTACCTTAGTCCTTTTAGTTCTTTGTTCATGTCTGCAAGTATAAGTTGTGCAAAGAAAACCTGCAAATTGCAGCCGAAGCAGTCATTTCTCTAGGATCAAGAAAAATAAATTAACTTTTGATAAAAAAGAGCCACTGAAAGGTATAATGATCTTCTGCAAGATGACAACAGAGGCGCATGTAACCTATATAAGTATTAATCCAGAAATATATTGTAGTTTACATTTTTAAAGAAGAAAACCCAGAAGTGGTTATGTATGTTATCTGTGTGAGGACTATATTTGAACATTCTTGCAACCCAGACATTCACCTAAAAATACTCCAACCACATTGTAACCAACATGCAGTATAGAGAAGTGTGTGTTCACCAATCCATAGCCAGTAGCCTCTGTGCGAAGGCTGGCGCCCGACCAATTTACTCTGGGCCCCGTAAAACTTCCCTGCATTAGTTAGTCAATATTTCCTGTCAGTCCATGTTATGACTAAAAGTACAACATTCACTCCATAACCAATAGAAGGAAGGGTTACTTACAGCTGCCTCTCCCTAGAAAGGAGTACTACCCAAGGTTTCTAAAATTTACAGATACATCCCTTGGCAAATCAATTGTCCCATAAATGACACCCATAGCTGATAATATTATGGTATCAACATGAATTGAGTGTTTTAGGCCTAAATTACTCTTCACATTTAATCTAAGCATTTTTTTCTTTAAAAAAACTTTCAGCATTTTATTCAATAAGATAGAGTAAAATTAGAAAGTTCAGCCCAAAACACTAATTCCTGCTAATGTCGTTATATTCCATCATATTTTGGTGTCAAGGGTGTCAGTTACAACAAATTTGACTGCTCAAAGGGTCTATTTGTGATATATAGCAACTTTAGGTACCATTATGTAATTTGACCATATCTCAGGGGAATTAGATGTAACAACCATAGATATAGCAACATAACAAGCATTTCACATCACATAAAAACAAAATTTTTCCATCAATTTAAAGTATGAGAAAATTAAGCACTTTTATACCTGATATTGCCCTGCCAGCCTGCGGTATTGACCATACAGAAAACCCATTTCACGTGTGCCAACACCCATCTCCTCTGTAGGAAGGTCCTACATTAAAAACACACCATCAAATAATAGGAATGTTGCCTTGGAGCTGATTCAAAATTTTCAAAAATGGCAAGGGGTCTTTAGTGAATACAATACCTTGTCAGGGCCTAAATAACGATATAATTCATTCATAAAGCTCTGACAAAACCGCATTATCTGCAAGTCAAGATAACAGACAACAAAAAAACGTTTGAGCCTATAAAAATCCCACAACTAGCAAATAATATGCTCAACAATGAACACTAATTACCTCGTTGTCACTTTTTCCTTTTGGATCGAAATCACTTCCACCTGAAGAACCTCCTAGTCTATATGGAGATAAGGCATTCTTTAAAGTCTATGAAACAAGAAGAGACCTAAACTGTCAGATCCAGATTACAACTTTGCATTGTAATTTCTAAAACACAGATTGATAGAGAACTTTCAAATAAAATGTATGAACAATTGCCACAAAACAGGAAACTAGAGTCCATTGTGCAGGAAAGAAGCAAGAAAAACCTGTTCAAAACTAAGAAACTTCGCAATGCTTAGATTCATTGATGAGTGGAAACGGAGTCCACCCCTGCATGGACCGAGGGTCTGATTGAAGTGAATCCGAAATCCACGGTTCACATGTGTCTCGCCCCTATCATCAACCCACGGAACTCGAAAAATAATTGTACGCTCAGGTTCTAATAACCGCTCCATCATACTGACATAACTATAGTAACAAAAAAAAAGCTCTCAAATTGCAACTTCATGGTCAAGTTATATATTATCAAAAAGATAAAATTTGTTCAAGGGTTAACTGTGTGTTTATGCAAAAAACTTACTTAGAGTTTTTTGATATCACTCTTTCTAATGCATGAATAGCCTCTTGAATGGATTGTAGAAACTCGGCTTCTTGAGGATCTCTTTTCAACGCAGCTTCAATAATTGATCCAGATGTTTTTGACATGAGAGCTTTTTCCCAGATTTCAACAATCATGAAGCAGAAAAATTAGCTAATGCATCAAAACATAAAGTGAAGCTATCAAAGAACTCGAAGTTTCAGCATCAAAATATTTGTCCCTTGTTACCCAAAAGAAAGAAAAGAATGCAACACAAAACTACAAAAGATGCTCATTGCAATTAAAATATATTAAGGGCGGATGGAGGGAATAGCTGTTTTACTTTTATTTTCTGTTGTTTTTATTTTCAACAACAAAGTAACAAGGATAGAGAATACTCAAATGATATGTATGCTTAAAGGATGTACATAAAGAAGGGAAGAAAACTACCTTTAACATACACTGGTTTATCTGCAATAAGTTTCTCTTTGGACGCCATCTGGAGACGAAGAGCCTCTTTGTGAAGTAGACTATTATTATGCTCTTCCAAAGCACTCATCTGCATGTTTCTGCTTCCTTCATTTCCATAAGGATTCCTCCTATGTTTCCGTCCATAGTCCCTGCAAACAGAGCAGAATATCCTTGGAGTTCCATCTTTCACGTCAACATAGGCCCACTTATATGTATCGGCCCATTCTTCCCTCCATCTCTTAACCACCTTTTTCTTCTTCTTCATCGGTTGTATCTTTGACAGATCTTGACTCTCAGTCGGAAGTTGAGAAACCATGATGAGCTTGCCATTCTCTCTGTGCTCCTCGGCTTCAGATTCTTGTGGTGTAACGGAAATCAGGGTGCGTTGGGCAAATGAGTGGCCGTCATCATCATCCCCTGCTCCAATTTCCAAATCAATCTCTTCTATCTCCCTCACCACAAGGTGGTGATGTCTCTGAGCCTGCTCAATCAAGTTCAGTTCATCCATTGTGGAATTCATCCCATCCCCACCCCCTGAAATCAGCATTCAGCATGACAGTCTTGGAGCAACTTTATTATATATTTGGGAAAGAAACCTGAATAAGTAAAAACATAAAGACGTGATGACTTGCCCTTGTATTTCGGTAATTATCTTTCTTTTCATTTCCTTATCATTTTTCCAGTTCCAAGTTACATAACATAGGCTTCATCTATTACCATTAAAAAAACAAAAACAAAATCTTGGTTTACATATTTGCATAATATCAACATCGTTTACAAATTTCAAGTGACACCAATGATTGCAGCAAATCAAATTGGGATTGTAGAAAAATTTTACCTTGAATCGAATTCCCAACTATCAGCAGGGAGAGATGACTTTACTTTGAATCGAATTTCCAAACTTTCAGCTGTCAATGAGTATTGTACCTTGAATCAAATTCCCATATTTCAGCTGTGTAACTGGAGAAAAGAAACCGAAAGGGGTTGATTGAGATTTGGGAGTTATCGGAGAATCATTTAGAGCTGGTAAAACAGTAGAAGGATGAATTGAGTGTGATTTTGGGAGCATGCACGTGGGTCAAATCGTTGAGCTTAACGTATCGCCCCTCCACCGCGAGAGTGAAAAAAGACAATGGACGACAACTACCGACTACGACGACGATTCATCAGACCACTTCAACTGAAACCTTTGGGGCTCCAAAGGACCGGGGCATGGATCCGGAAGGTACTAGTTAATTTCTAAATTCACCCTGTTAATTCTAAAATTCTTTATACTCCGTATATAAATTTAACTCTAAGGTTATTCTGCAGTATTTTTTAGGATTTTAAAAATATGTGGGTATTCAATTCGGATTTAAAAAAATCATTTAAGTCTATATGTACTCAATTCATATTTTAAAATATCCTTCTGAATCTAATGGTATTCAAAAATTAATTGTTTTTAAAATATTTTTATAAAATAGAGATTTTGATGGATTTTGGGCTTTGAGTATAAATAGAAATTTAAATAGAGATTTTGGGTTTTGGGCTTTGGGCTTCGCTGAATTCTCCATCCCTCCTTCTCTATTGGCTACTACATGTAATGGCATCTGTTGGTGTAGACCGTCTTTGCACAATGAGAGATGTAATGAGTATATCTAATAATAACTTCATAAATTAACCATTCGCAGGAAAAACAATTGTACTCAAAGGTGATTTTATTTAAATTCTTTCAGTTTTACTCATAGCTTTGAGGGTGGAAATTGTAGGTGCTACCACCAATTGCTCACAAATGCGGTTGTATTGTAAAATTTATACGTTGACCAAAAATATGAGATTGCATTAATCTACAGTCTCTTGCACAGATAGTGACACAGAAGTTTTTTCTGATTGGATAATCAAAATTGAAGATGGAAAATTTAGACAAGTGATCAATGGAATTGCTCACGTTGAAATCCCGCCTGAATTCTTGATTTTTGAAATAAGTTATCCCCTCAAGAGAACAATGGAATTCACTTATCCAAACCTACTAGAGAACATGAAAAATTATTTTTTTTAAAGGATAGTGAAGTATTATCACTCACGCTCGAGTTTGTTGAATGGTAAATGAATTTGTCATATCCCTTATTCTAGGAGGTGAAAAAAGAGTGCTTACTTTTTGATTCTTCATGCAAAGTTAACAATTAGATAACACTTTAGTTTTTTTAATAAAATCAAATAATCAGGGATCCTAAACCACAAAATAATTTTTAAAAATAGGGTACCTATTATGTCATTAAAGAACATTGACCAAATATCTGGATTGTGTAATGGTAGAAGATTAATCGTTGAGAATAAACATTATCACTGCAATTGACGTTTTGGGAAATCAGATGGGTAAAAGATTTATATACCCCGAATGAATTTGGTATCATTTGATTCAGGACTACCTTTGAAATTCTAGAGAAGACAATTCTTAATATTATTATATTTTGTTATGACTATTAACAAAAGTCTAGGTCAAACATTGTCGTTTGTTGTATTATTTTTAACCAATTCAGTATTTACTCATGGTTAGCTTTATATTACTTTTTCACGAGTGAAGGCAAAGACATAATTAAAAATATTGGTTCTAGATGATAATGAAAATCCTTACAACCATACCAAAGATGTTGTGTACCCTAAAGTCTTTCAAAAATTTTGGAATTAAAAAAGATTTTTTCGAGTACACTTCGAGTTCCTCAAATACTATTTATTCTACTTTGTCGTTGTTCATTGATTAAAAATCGTGTTAGAAATATATTTTATTTATTCTACTTTCACGTTCAAGTTTTTTAGAATTCTAGTGCTTCTTATCCTTGGGCACTAATAAACACATCTATTTTTCAAAACTTATTTTAAAAAAATTTGTGATTTTAAAACGATGTACTTGTACATGCTCCCTTTTGATTTATTTATGGCCATTTTCCGGCAAAAAGAGATTTTGATACTTATTTTAATTTCCAATCCACGGGGGGCACTACAGTTTTTTTCTCGTTCTCCATTTATTTTTATTTTTCCTTTTCTTCTATTTGTTTTTTTTATATATTTTTTTAAATTCCTTTCTAAATTTGTTGGTTGCTCCGTATAATGTTTTTAAAATATAAAATTGTTTGTGTTTGGAAAAAGATAAAGTGATAATTAAATAACATATACTTCATCTATCTTAAATTTTAAAAAATTATTTTTTGTTTTTCAAAATCAAAAGTAATTTTTTTTTTAAATCTAAAAAAATGAGGAATAAAATAGAAAAAAAATAAAATAAAAAATTAAAGGGGATATCCTGTTTTTGACATCGAAATTTTAAAGTTAAAGGGGATATCCTGTTTAGAAGTTTCCAAAATTACTTTTTGTATATGATTATTTTTTGTGTGTTACAGTTTTTTTCATTTCCTTTTTCATATTTTTATTTTTTTAAATTATTTGTACTCCATATTTTATTTTTTGAACTTCTCAAAAAAAAATTAATTCTAGAAAACAAAAAATTGAAAATGTTTGATTTGAGAATGATGGGGTATAAGTTACGGAGTAATATTTTTTCATTTTTATTTTATATTTTAAACACAAATAATTTTAATTTTATTAAAATATTGTAAAAAATTTAGATAAAGAAATTAAAAAATTACGAGTATAATAAAAGGAAACACAGAAAAAATGCCAAGAGAATTTTAGAAATAAATTTTAAAAAGAGATGGAGTATTAATTCTAATTTTGGCCCAAAATAAATGTTTATATTTGCGGTTACATGTAGGTCAAATACATGAAATCAACTTACATTTCACTGGTTCTGGGTGCCTTGTTCCCCACCGCCGCACGTCACCAAGTAGGACGGGCGGCACGATAGAACAAGAAGTGAGTGGAAGGACAGAGAGAGTCGAGCAGGGAAAGAAGTGGGTAGCGGAGAGAGCAACAATGGGAAATCATAAAGAGGTATAGAAGTAGAAATATGGGACACTTGTACAGAGTTATGTCTAGACATTAGCTCTCCAAATTCAGATTAACCTCTTCTGTCGCGGTACACAGAATTTCTGGGACAACATTTAGGGGGTCCGTAGATGCCTTAAAATTGTGCAGAGAAGAAAAGTTCAAGGAGGCCTATGAGTTCATCAACTCCAATCGCTCGCATTTGGTGCATGGTGCAGGCTTAATGGTGATTAGCCACATTTCTGAGCATCTTAGAGCTGGCTACGAAAACAAAAAAATAGAATCTGCAACAATTTCTGAAAAAGAGGATGAAGCTTTTGATTTAGCTTTCAAGATCATTGATATTATGAAACAAGAGGGAATCAATGTATGTGGAGGCTTAATATCCAATATCATCATTTTATTGGTTGCAAAGGGTAAGGACCAGGAAGCATTTGATTTCATTAAAGACATTAATGAGGAGGACATTGTACATAAAGTCAGACTTAGAAATGAAGCTCTCTCCTTCTTGATGGAATCCCTCTGCAAAAGACAAACTTGTGATGCCACCAAGCTTAAAGAGTTCATGGAATCCAATGGCTACAAAGTGATATGACTCTGAATAAGACTAAGTCGTTTCTCACTTAAGAGGCGCGGGAATAAGCATTTGCGTTAGTCATGTTTATTTATTTAGATATGACTTAGTCATGTTTCTTTATTTACTTATTTCAATATGAGTCTATCCCTTTTTATTAGCAATTGAGTCAGTCAATGTTTAGAGTCTGTTGGAATAATTGTGGGATAATTGGATCACCCTCTAAACCACACTAAGTGAGTGAGATTCTCTTTTCTGATATTTCCCTTTGTATTACCGCACTATTTATACCTTTAGCCAGTTTATGCTAAAGGAAGAGAAATATTAAGCTTATTATTTTCAGAGATTCTCTTGGGCTTCTTAGTCTCAATTAATCGAGATTCTTGATTGAAAGAGATTTAGAAGATTTGTTTTTGTTTTTAGTTTCTAATTTTTGGTAGCTACCATTTTGGTATAAGAGGCAAGTTCTTGTGCAATTATGGTAAATACTCGATATTATGCAACTCATGGCAATCCTGATGTCAGCAACATCCTGGCACAGCAGAGTGATAGCTTGGCCGCCATCGCTGCCTGACCGAACATTCTGGACGAATTACAAGACAAAGTAGCCGCTTTAGAAGTCCAAAACTGCAATCAAACAACCAAAAAAAACAAGAAAAAGGATGAAACATGACGTGTTGATTACAGGGCACTCAACAAACTCACCATTCGAGATAAGTATCATATTCCTAATACTGATTAATTGTTGGATGAGTAAACTGGTGCTGCATATTTTTCAAAAATCGACATTCGATCTGGCATCCCTGATCCAACAGAAACTCGCCAGGCTCCGATAGTCTCTGTCTACCATGAGATCTTTAACAATCTCCCATGATGATTTAGTAGTGGATAATGGTTTGCATTAGCTTGGGGTTTCGGATGTTGTCTTCTATGCCACACGCACGCTGTTGCCTCTACTGGTTTGCTATTTCTATGGCAATGTGTTTCGAAGTAAATCAAGATGATGAAAATTCCATTGTTTTACATGTTAAGAGAACTACTGCTATTGATCCAGTTGCTTGTTTGCCAATTGACAGTGTTGCAGGTACAAGAACATGTCATCATATGAGAGGAGAGAGGCCGCACAGAAGGAATACGACGCACCATTAAAGAATGTAACCTGGAAAACTTGCCAGCTGGTCATTAGTGAGAGCATTATTTACTTTTAGCCGTATCACAGACTAACAGGAAATCTTTACTAACTAATGCAGGGAAGTTTTACGGGGCCCTGGGTAAATTGGTCAGGTGCCAGCCTTCGCACAGAGGCTAACACACACTTCTTTACAATGCATGCTGGTTACAGTGTGGTGGGAGTATTTCTAGGTGACTCTCCGGGTTACAGTAATGATGAAATATAGTCGTCACACAGATAACATGCATAGCTACTATACTACTAGGTGTCTCTTCTTTAAAAATGAACAGTACAGTATATTTCTGGATTGATGGAGTATTTATATAGGTTACGCGCGCCCTTGTAGTCATCTCGTGGAAGATCATTTCATCTTTTCAGTGGCTTTTTTTTGATAAAAATATATTACAGTAATTTTTTTATCCTAGAGAAATCAGAAATGACTGCTTCAACTGCAATTTGCAGGTTTTCTTTGCACAACTGGTATTTGCAGACATGAACAAAGAACCAAAAGTACTAAGGTACCTTTTGCTTACCTGTCAACAATACAAGGAATGGGCTAATCAATTTGTTTTTGTACTGAGTTAGGAGGCTTAATTAATTAATTGCATTTTTAAAACAAGTACACTGGTACACAAAACCTCTTAGACCCGTATATTTGAAAAAAGAAGAAGAATTGTATGGGGAGGGACGTGCAGTGAGAGGGCAGTTGTGCTAAAACGAAAACATAGGGCAGAACCCTGAACATAGAATTGAATTTCACAAAGAAGTGTTTTCTCTGTACTAATCAATGTCTGGCTTTGAGGAAATATCAGTTGTTCAATTAAAAAGTGTTCTCCTGTTCTTTGTGTTTTGTGAATAGGTGTGTGGTTAGTGGCTCTGGGAAAATTGCGATGCATGTCCTTGAGAAGCTTATTGCATATGGGGCTATTCCTATCTCCGTATCATGTGATTCATATATAATAGTACTCTATATGAACTATTAAGAGAATTGGATTCTTTGATTTTATGGGTATGGTTGTTCTTTTCATTTTGTCCGTCCCAAAATGTTTTTCCATACCATATGTGGTATAAAATCTACAGCTTTAGTTAGTACATACCTTACAAGTTCAATCTTTAATCTTATAACCTAAAGCTCAGAGTCTCAGATTAAGTGCATACTTTTGTGAGCAATTTAGTGTGTTCTTAGTGTCTGTTCTAAAAACCCTCTATAGACTCAACTGTTCTAGACTACCTATGCGCTAGGATTTTATTAAATGGAGGGGCGGGACTGAGGGAAGATGTGAGAAAACCCTAGGCAACCACAATACAACACGCTCACGGTTATGTGGATGTTGCAGGAGACTGACCGTATCATATACGAAATAAGGAATGAATGAGAACGGTTGAACTCAAGCAATCAGCCGACGAGATCCTTCTAAAAGGGGGGGGGGGGGGCACCCGTAGCTTTTTGTGGTAATGAATGAATCAATTTAGAAATCCTTAAAATGGTACGGTAGTAAATTAATCATCAATATGAAATGATTTCCAAGATAAACCTAGTAAATTACTCATCAATCCTTTATATCTAAAAAGCTGACTCCCAACTTCAAGAATGTGATATTTGACAATGTTAAGAATGTGACATTTTACGGTGCTTATGTGTCGTATTTTGACACGTCATTTATGACATACTCCCTAGCAATTAAAGAAATTAAAAGTTTGGTAAGAGATCTTGGAGTATATTTTAAACATGGGAAAAAATCTTCCTTTTTATGTTAATATTGTTTCCAAATTCTATATTTTTTCTCTTCATATATAAAAAAAATTTAATAAATAATAAAATCTCTTCACCTATAAATAAATTTTATAGTTTTTTAGTATATGTTTACATGAAATTATTTTGGTTATATTGATTGAAATATTGACCCCTAGTAAATGAAATATTTTCTTCCCCTATAAATAATTTCTATATTTGTTTCAACACCTAATAATCTAATATGCCACTAAATTTAAGATATAGAAAATATGAAATTAATATTTGGGTATGAAATAATTGAATAAACTTAATTATGGAAAAGAAACATTAATCTTAATGATAATATTCCTTCCCAATTCAATATTTTTTACTCTTCTTTTATAATAAAAATTTTAATTAGTAAATAAGATACTTTTTTTACTTCTGAATCTATGTCATAAGAGTATTTGTTTATGATATGTTAACATGAAGTTTTTTTTTTATTCGATTTATTGCAATATTGATGTAAAACTAAAACAAACAATATATTTTAAAACCCACATTAAAAGATATATGAAAAAAGAAATAACTAGACTATAATTATGTGAAAATAGAAAAACAATTCACCAAGTACTTAACAGGATAGAGTTTAGACTCAAAGATCATTACAATCTGCAGCAGCAGCAGCAACAACAGATAAAACAAGTCACCTTATATTTAAGATTCTTAGAGTTTACAGTTTGATAAAGCAAGCACAAGTCCGACATCATATGGTGGGAAGCAGCCCCAAGGAATAAGGACATACATAAGCGATGATTTAGCAGTCAGGCTGTTTCTATAATCCTCCAATGCAGAAGCTCATGCCAGCCAAAACTAGGAAGTAGTGGGAATTCAACCATTGCTTGAAAAGTCACCACATCAGCATCATCAGCACCAGCTTCATCGGCATCCACAGCAGTGAAGGTCAAAAGACATATGCAGGAGGTGCTAATAACAACATTCTTTAATTCCTTAAACAAGTGAGTTTCGCCCTGCAGGCCACACACATGACAACAATTAAGCAGCAACAGAAAACAAAACACTTGCATGTTATTTATATACATCATCAAATGCACACATACCGTAATCTCATTGATTTTGTGGATCGCAAAGCGTCTTGCATTCAATACACAGTCATTGAAAATATACTGGCAATCCTCGTTGGACATGTCCACCGGACATAGAGGAAATGAAACCGGAACATCATCCACATTCATGTCAAGATCATAACCCTACCAAGTAACTTTGCAATTTCAATTTAATTAAGCAACAGCTTGTGAAAACAATGATCAGATAAGTTACCACCCGAATTCATATTAAATGCAAGTTCCAAGGATAATAACGAAAAACAACAATATTCAACAACGAATCCGTCAATCTGGAAGTTCATCGACACAATTGAGATCATCTAATCAAAATAGTATTGACGAATATAATTAGCCAGGGTGAATAAATCAATCCCCACATTAACACAATTGGGATATAAAGAATCTAAATACGTGTAACGATTAAAACGAAACGAGTCGAGGGAATGAATGATTACTGAAATTAGTCAAATGAAGAAACGCACCCATGTCTCACGGAGTTTACGGAGTAATTTCCTAGTATTTTCGTCCCCGGCTTGTCGGGCCTCCATATTCACTACGCAGCGTCTCAAATCAGGGTACAATGGGGATTCCTCAAACGGCGGAAGTTCGTTTCCCATGACAATTGGCCAACCGCAAAGGCCAAACTAGATTTTTGAGACGGAGGCGCCGGACTGAGGAAAGATATGTTAAAACCCTAGGCAACCACACAATGCCACACGAAGTCACGAACACACGTTTTGTTTTATTTTGTCTCACATGTTAGCTTAGCTTCTCCTTATTACTCCCTCCGTTCACCTAAGATCTTCCTATTGCGCGTTACGAGACTTGACCGACATTATTTTTAATTTCATTTATTTGAGTATATGGGTAAAATTTTAATATAAATTCTATATAGTAATAAACTACGTGAAAAGTTCTACAAAACTAGAAGTGACAACACTATGTAGTATTATTTTATGAAATGAGTAGTAAAAATTAACAAGTTAAGTAAAATAAGTTAGACTTTGTAAATAGTGTCTGAGAAGATCTATGGTGGAAAGAGGGAGTATCATTTTACACATAGAAACTCATTTCAGAGAAGCATGTACTGTAACTTCGTGGGGACGCAGCAAAAATCACCAATTAAGAGCTATACAAACAAACCAATCAACTATGCTATAGAGAAGATACTGCATCACTGTAACAATAACAGATGACCGACAGTGTACTATAACATTTATGTCACAAGCACACACAGAAGCGTATGATGCAGAGGGCGTTACAGTGCCTAATGGGCAGAATGATGTAACTATAAAATGCGTAAAAAATAACACGAGATATGTTTGCGCAGTTCGGAACAACTCTCCTATGTCTGTGGGGCCCACATCCATGTAATAGTCTCCACTAAATCAGTAGATGCAAGTTACACCGGTACATAACAACATGATAAGACACACTTCTCCGAATTGTTATGACAAAACTTCTAATCTAGAATTTCTAACCCATACCCTATACAAATCCGCTTCGACTATCACATCTCCACCGAGATCACGAGGACAAACTTGTTGGCAGCCCTCTCTTTAAGCTTTGGTTCATCTACTGGTTGTCACGATCTATTTTTCGTTGTAGGACTCCTTCATGTAGATCGTAACTTTCTTCACGCAAGGAAAGCTCCGGGACGCGACGAGATTGCTCTATATCAGCTTATATTCTTAGTTTTCCCTCTCAATCGCTCCAAGTAATTCCCAGGGACCTGCTGCATTTTAATAGGCTACTCTTAACACAATCCTAGTAGAAATAGGTTAGTAGAAGTTGGCATGAAGTCAAATTCCTTAATCTTGATCCACAAGTAGCCTAAATAGTTGGGACTCCTTAACAAGTACAGCTGGAGTTATTATCATGTAGTCACAATCCCAATAATTTTGGTATGAAATAATTGAATAAACTTAATTATGGAAAAGAAACATTAATCTTAATGATAATATTCCTTCCCAATTCAATATTTTTTACTCTTCTTTTATAATAAAAAAAAATACTATACGTCATCTCAAAGTTCAATATATTGATTTTATAATTTGATTTTATTACTAGACAATTTATGATTTGTGGTCCTTAGATTATTTTTTATTTAAAATTTAAAAATATAATATTTTTAGTTATCTATTATGATATGATGTTATTAATTAAATTATAAAATATTATTGATCGAAAAAATGTATTACCATGATATTTTATGTTTGCACTAACATAAATTACAATTTTAACATTACAGAGTAAATTTGATTATGGAATAGAGATAATCGCTTTTATTAGGATATATTTTTCTAATTTTATATTTTTTTCACTCCATTTATAATAAAACTATCAATGAATAAATAAGATTTTTTTCTTTAAAAAAAGGTACTTTCATAACCTCTAAAAAATTCATATTTGTTTATGGCATGCATAAATGAAGTTAGTTTTGATTTCATTTATTTAAATATTGATATAAAATAATAACAAATAATATATTTTAATCTCTACATTAAATTAGAACAAATGACTAGACTATTTTTAAATGATCAAATATTTAAATAAATAAATTAAAGAAGAATACTTTCAGGGGTTGAATGATTTTGTATTCAAATAAAAATTGAAAAATTGAAAAAAAAAATTATCAATATTTTTCTAAATTTCTATTCAAAATAATAGGATCACTAATGTTTTTTTATATTAATTTTTTTAAAATTAATACGGAGGAGTAGAATTATTGGATTTTTAATGATTTTTTAATTAATTGTTTTGAATCATAGGATTGCTAATCCAAGATTTTATTTTTTGACTTATGCAGGAAGAGAAGAACCATACTGAGTATTGGTTTAATCAATGAGAAGGGGGAGAGTCATAAGAATACTAGAGAGATGAATAATATTTATTTCACTAATCAAAGTTAATGCATCGCTACGGGATAGAAGAATCATATTCTTTGAATCATCAGGCCAGCAATCCAATTTTCTTTTAATTAATGCAAAGGAGAATAATCATAGAATCACTAATATACTTTTTTGAATTAATCCAAGGAAAGAAAAGTTATATGTTTTTAATCAATACGAGAAAGGAGAATCATATTAATGCGGATAGATAAATCAATTTTATTCGATAATCTAAACTAATATGGGGGAATCATATTTTTTGCCCATCAATGGCGATTGTATAATGGCTACGTCAAGAATAATGTGGATGCCTCGACGGGGTTGGTTGATGGAGTCTCAGGGTTCGGCTTTATTGCTCCAAACTATTAATGGATTTTTATTGCATTACGAAATTTTCATTGTAGGGGATGTTAAAGACCTAGAGAAGTGGAGACAATTGTAGTACAAGAGACTTTAAGTTGGATCAAGGACAAAGATTGAAGGCATATCATTGTGGAAACAGGTTGCAAGAAAGGGGTTGATGCTCTTAATATGCTTCCAATTTTTCTTGTGACATCTATTTAATTTAATATAATGATTTATTTAAAATAATGACGATTGTATAAAAGTTGAGTTTATGAATGAAAACAAATGATTGGGAATCTTGAACCACAAAGCAATATTAATTTGAAGAAAGTTATACCCATTATGTTATTGAGAAACATTAATTAACAATCTGAATTATGTAATAGTATAAGATTAATCGTTGAAGAGTTGCGAAAAATCATTTTTGGTGCAATTGTAGTATTAGAAAATAAAGTTGTAGAGAAGGTTTACACAACCTAAATGAATTATGTATCATTTTATACATGGTTACACTTGAAGTTTCAAAGAATACAATTTCTAATAGTTTATATTTCTTTATGGTTATAAATGAAAGTTAGAGCCAAACATTGTCATTTATATGATTAGTTTTTACCAAGTCAGTATTCATTTACGCTTAATTTTATATGAGTAAATTCTATAATTGGTCCTTTATAACAGAGGGGTTTCCCTATTTAGTCCTCTATTATCAGATATTACACCAGTGGTCCTTCTTTTATGGGTATCTTTCCACAAATAGTCCTTTTTTGATCTTCTATCTTGTTGGTGTTAATTTGAGGGCTAAAAGTGTAATTTCGCAATGATAATATATCTTTTTTGTCATACACAATTTTAAAGGCTATTCCGTTTCCATCGTTTGTGAATTAAAGTCACTTTGTACTACAACTATAGTCTACAAATGTGGTCTTTCGTCGGAATCCTAGCCCACAATCATAGTCATTATTTTTGTGTTATCCGCTTAACCAATATCAGAACATGTCACTAAACATAATGTTGATGTCAAATTTACTTTTAGCTTTTAAATTAATACCAACATGTCAGAAGATCAAAAAAGGATCATTTGTGGAAAGACACCCTTAAAAAAAGGACTACGGGGGTAATATTTGATAATAGAGGACTAAATATTGAATCCCCCCTATTATAAAAGACCAATTATGAAATTTACTCATTTTATATTGTTAATTTGTGAGTGAGAGTAAAAGTAGAATTTAGAGTAGAAAATTACTTACGGGTGACGCGAGTTTTGTCGAAATAACTCTCAGGTACCTCTATTTTCAAGAATACAACTGAGGTCCTTATATTTTGTTGTAATGACTGGGAGGAGACATTTCATCCAATATTTCATCCATAAGTGTTAATAAATATATTTTTTTCTATTTTTCATTAACGTTTTTTCCTATTTTGCCATTACTCGGTTTTTTCTTTTTTAGAAAATATTTTATTTAATTTATTTTAAAATAATACAAACAATTTTGAATTTTTATCCGATTTTATAGAAGAAATTCTAAAATAACACTTTAAAAAAGAGTAACAAAAAAAGAAAAATAAAGAAATAAAAAAAGGAACGACCTAAGATTTATTACCTTAAAATATTTAGAAAAAAAAGGAAAAAATTACATTTATTTACGTTTATGGATGAAATATTGGGTGGAATGTCCCCTCCCAGTTATTACAACAAAATGTAAAGACCTCCGTTAGTTTCTTGAAAATAGAGGGATCTGAGAGTTATTTCGACAAAACATGCGTCACCCGTGAGTAATTTTCTGAATTTAAAGTATAAGATTTAGATATTTTTGGCAGTCTTTATAACATCACACAAATATGTTGTATCCCTCAACTTTTTAAAATGTTTTAATTCAAATAAGACTTTGACATGTTTATTTTCAAATGTATAAAGTAGAATTTTAATTATCAAATATTATATGTTTTACCATTATTTCAACTTTTAAAATTGATATTTTATTTTGTTTGATTTTAAAAAACTGTTGTAGTGAAGAAAAATAAAAAATTCAAAACAAAAAATTCGTTCCATCCCATGCATTGCACATGCTAAAATACTAGTATAAATTAGAGTAAATTTCATAATTGGTCCTTTATAACAAGGAGATTTCCATATTTAGTCTTCTATTATCAAATATTACCCTTGTAATCCTTTTTTTAAGGCGTCTTTCCACAAATAGTCCTTTTTTTTATCTTCTGCCGGGTTGGTATTAATTTAAAGGCTAAAAGTATAATTTAATATCAACATTATGTCTAGTGACGTGTTCTTATATTGGTTAAGCGAATAACACAAAAATAATGACTATGATTGTGGGCTAGGATTCCGATGAAAGACCACACTTGTAGACTGTGGTTATAGTAGAAAGCGACTGTAATTCACAAATGACGCAAACGGCACACCCTTTGGAATTGTGTATGACAAAAAAGATATATCATCATTGTGAAATCACATTTTTAGCCCTCAAATTAACACCAACATGATAGAAGATTAAAAAAGGACTAATTGTGGAAAGATACCCGTTAAAGAAGGACCACTGCGGTAATATTTGATAATAGAGGACTAAATAGGGAAACCACCTGTTAAAAAGGACCAATTATGAAATTTACTCTATAAATTAATTATCAAGATATTGCATAACTCTCATAGTCGAAAATAATGCTCAGTTTATTCCAACGACTAATGACTGTCAAAACAAATTTATATTAATTTTTTAAAATGATCCTTTCTCATTGAGTGTTTTCTCAAATTTATCTATTTTCAAAACAAAAAATCATTAAATATAGACAAATAATAATTTTAGATTTTCTAGGATGAGAATATAATAAATACACAACAAATATAATTTTATAAATTTGAAAGTAAACATTTCAGATTCTTCACAATTAGTTTGAAAAATATCGTGTAAATAAAATATTTAATAAATGTTATTTATTTGCTCTCCGAGTTTTGAAATAAGGCTCTTGTTTTGGCTTACAATAAGGTCATTGGCAAACACCCCCTAGCTTTCGGGTCACACTTCAGTAAATCCTGCTTGGAAGTCTAATTACGGGCCTGTTTAGGAATAGCGTTAGCAATTAGCGTTAGCGTTTTGAAAAAGCTATCTACGGGCAGCGTTTAGCGTTAGTGTTTTCAAAGTAATCTGCACTGTTAAAATATTATCCAAAACGCTAACGCTAATCTCTAACGGTATTCCCAAACATAGCCTACATTTCCAGTAAAACCAACAGCAATATGCAAGAGGAGAATCATGGATCAAAACTGGTTATTGTTCTTGTACCATTTGAGGCAACAAAGTCATTGATCATTTGTTTCAAATGCTGCAACAAAGCAACACAGTATCATCAGAAGTTAGGGTAAATATCTTTAAATGGAAAAAAAAAATGTTGAACGAAATGAGGAACCAAAGTTCAAAAAAAAATTTAAGGGGACAACACCACCTTCAGTTCTTCATGAAGCACAATGAAAATTTTCTTTAGCCGTTTATGTCTCTGCAGCAATACAAATTAATATGTAAGTTGTAGTAAATCGTTCAGACAGTTCTGTATCCACCCGAAGTAAACTGTTCATATTATTAGTAACTAAAGATGATTGAGAAATAAACAATATCACTGCAAATTAGTTGCTTATACATATTATGGTGTAGGCATTCATTGCCAATGGAGCTAAAATAGTCGGTTTTGACAGTGTATTAGTTTCAGGTAAATAATGAAATGGCACACTAAACCTCTCTTGCGTCTTACATTCTATGAAATTTTGCAACAAGGGTCTAACAAAAATAATAATGGGGCAAGGTTGTTGTCGTGGTTGTATGCATATTATGGTGTAACCTTGCCTCATTCACACTCAAATTAGGGATGGGCTGGGAAAATATGCATTTATCTAATACAATTTACAAAAATGCTCCCAAAAATTGATGATTTTACAAAATACTCTCAAATGCCTACATTTACACCAACTCACCAAAACTCCAAAAAATTGTGTACTTACAAAAACACTCCTTCTATCACCAAATTATAAATCTACAACCACAAGATGCATGCATGGATTGTTGATTTTGTTTTTTGGGAGTTTTTTTCTGTAAAATCATCAATTTTTTAGAGTACTCTCATGAATCTTTACTTTTGAGAGTTTTCTTCTAAAATCGTAAAATCTTCCCTTTTTACTTATAAAGATCTTCATACCTTTAGCCATGACCGTGGCTAGTGAAATCCAAAGAGCAATGACATCATCAACTGGAATGTGTGTGCATGCATTTGATATTGAAACAGACAAGAAGAAAGTAGAGATACTGAATAGAGATCAAACAATTCTCATTGAGAGAGAATAGAAGAGAATATAAAAGTAAAAACGGAGGGAAAAAGCATGGTTTTAATCGACTATGAATCAGGCAAATGAGGTAATGATATGTGTGATTAATGGTGTGAAAATTCAAAAGCAAAAAAAATATTTCATCATCGTTTTCAAAACCATTTCAAAAAATTTGAAACAAATTTTAACGACTTAAAAAAATGACACATAGGCATTGTGTGGCGGATATTCGTAATCCGGTGACAATGGTGTTTTTTTCTTTTTGGAGTGTTTGTGTAAACTGTAAATATCAGCTTCAGGAGACACTACTGTAAATTTGTCAACTTTTAGGGGTGTTCTTGAGAGCTTTTCCAAAAAAACTGTGCAGGCATTCAATTGCTTGAGATTCCTAATCTCGCGACAGAAGGATTAATTGGCTAATGGGAGTATTTATGTAAAAGATTTAGATATTTATGTAAATTTAGTATTAATTTAGTATTTATGTAAAAGATTTATATACTAACGGAGTATTTTTGGCTTTAGTATTTAAGTAAATCTTTGTAATTTTCCAACATCTTAGATGGAGCTATAGATTCACTATTGTTTTGGCTTTGCAGTATGCTGGAATAAAGCAAAATGGCTCTTTAAACTATATGCACTTCTTTTAATAGTGAAGTAGCAGTTAGTCAATGCAACTTTCACCTATCAAGGGTAATCCGGAAACAACCACTCTATGTTTTAAACATAAGGTTAGGCTACGTACGTGATTACCTATAGCCAGCACAGAGCTGGGGGTCTCTTTGGAAACCTCTCTATTTTCGAGTAAGGGGAAAGATTTGCATACACACACCCTCCCCAAACCCTACTCTCGTTGGATTCAACTGGGTTAAGTTGTTGTTTTAATGTAAAAGTTTTACAGATTTTTCAAATAGCAGACTTTGGGTAGATGAAACAATATGAATTTCACATCAACCCTTCCACAATCACAATGCACTATCAAAACATCAAAGGATTACAAGTCAAACTTACATGTCCATGTTGGTAATAAGAATCCTTCAAACGCTCCAAAGTTTCATAGAATCTCTCCATATCCTTCCCTTTATAAACGTGCAAGTCCTTTCCAATGTCATGGAACTCCGACCTAAAGCAATTTGGGTACCAACAAAATATAACTCAAATCAGTTAGCTGAAAAAAATACGACAAATCGTAAACATGCAGATTTGAATTTCAAGATACCTATAGGACTCCAAGTTTTTATTCAGCAAGCAATATTTTTCATACTTCTCGTGGTACTCCTCAACATATTCTTTATACCTGAGATGTATGAGATCACATATTAAGGAAATGAACGCTTTCAAACAGAACATATACTAATTGATGCAAATGATATGAAAGTGAAAGTCAGGAAAAAAATGAAAAGATACTAAAGGAACTACTCATGACATAGTGCATTGTGTGTATCTCTTCAGTCAAAAGCACGAATTTAAAACAGTAAATAAAACGTACTGGCCAAAACCCTTTATTGGTAGCCTCAACTCTGGCTCTTTCTTTTCATACATGAAGTATGGACTGATCTCATCAGCAGAAGATGTTCTCTTCCCCTTGCAAGCATCATTACTTATGTCATATTGTGCTGCTCCAGTAGAAACCATGCGATGATTATCTCCATAGATGAACTCCACACACCCCTCAGTTATATTATGTTGCTTTTCACTATCAACTTCAGAGGGCTTATGATGCTTATGGCATTTAACTACAGTCTGAACAACTGCAGAGCAGTGCTGCTGAGAAATAGGTTGGGAATCAACATGTGTCTGGTGCTTATCCTGAACAGCACCCTTGGCAAAAAGTGGCTTCATACTTACTGAATTCTGTTGTTGATGCATTTTCTCACTTTTTTGCCTCTTAGTGGCACCGGGTTTATCATCTTGCTTTTCTTCAAGATCACTTTCAATGACAAGCTTTCTCGTTTGTATTCGGTTTTCTTCTATCAGAACTGATCCAAAATTAACATTGGTAATTTCCACATCTGGCAAGTCTTTCTCAATCTCCAAGATGTCTGCAACACGAGTACATTTATTTTCGCCAATCCTGATTTGGGTGGGTTCAGAATCTTGATATGTTGATTGAATAGGAAATTTTGATAACCTATTTTTAGAAAGTTTCTGCTCGTATTTTGCCCCCCGGTCATCATCACTTCCCAAAATACCCACCGCATCATTTGATGACTCATTGTTAGAAGAGGCGTCACTTTCACTGGTGCCCCCAAGGCTTCTGCTTCCGCTTTTACCTACACTATCACTATTGTTACTTTCACTATCACTAGAGATACCTGCTGGTCCTTTAGAGTGATCAGGGGCGTTTTTCTCACCA